CTATTATAGACTTAACGTACACACTATTAAGAATAGAAATATACTTTTTCTTATTTATAATATACTTATAAAGCTATCTAAAGCTTACTACTTTTCTAAGGTTAATATTATTATAGCTTTTAATAAAATCTATATTAAAGAAGAGTATAAATACTTATCTACTTTTATTACTTTCTATAGTCTTTACTAATATACTATTATATCTTTTAGAATATATAATAGCTCTAGAACTTTCTAGACTTATATTAATAATATACTATATAAGTACCTAAATAAGTTTTATATAGCTTACTTAGATAATATTATTATATTTAGTAAGACTAAGAAAGCTTATAATAATTACCTTTTATATATAGTAATCTAACTTATAGATATAGATCTCTTTATAGATATTCTTAAGTTAGAATTTATAAAATAAGAAGTTAAATTTTTTAGATTAATTATTACTTTTAAAGATATTAAAATAGACTCTAATAAAGTCTCTACTATATAATATTAGCAGCTCTCTAAGACCTTAAAAGATGTTTAGATATTTCTTAGATTTACTAACTTCTATTACTACTTTATATATAAGTTCTCTAATATTACTAAACTACTTACGTATCTTACTTATAGAGATTCTTCTCTTTTCTAGATAACTTTTAATACTACTTATATATTTAATAAGTTAAAATAAGCTTTCTATAGTAAGATAGTGCTTATACACTTTAACGCTAATCTTAAATATATTCTAGAAATAAACGTATTAGACTACGTCTATACTACTATTCTTTTGTAAATCTAATCTAATAATACTATTAGACTTATAGTCTATTTATTAAAGAAGATAATACTAATAAAATATAATTATAAAATCTATAATAAAGAGCTTCTTACTATTATTTAAGTATTTAAGAAATAGAGGCTAGAGCTAGTAGACGCTACTAACTTTATTAAAGTACTTATAAACTATTATAGGCTTAAGTACTTTTATACTAAGTATTATTTTAACTAATAGTAAGCTTACTAGACTAAATTCTTAGAAGAGTTTAATTTTAAAGTTAAGTACTACTCTAGAAAGTAGAGTATAAAGCTTAATAGTCTTACTAGAAGAACTAGTAACTTACTAGAGAATATCTCTAATAACTAGGTTTAATACTAACACTAAACTATTCTTAGAGAATACTAGTAGAATAGAAGTAGTTACGCTACTATTAGACTAGCTAGGCTTTACCTTAGTAATACTAAATATAATCTACTATTACTTCTTAAGCTTATATATAAATCTACTAAAAGTAGCTTAGCTCTAGAATACTTTACTATTAGTCTTATACGTTTCTTTCTATAAGAAGAACTAGATCTCTATAATAACTTAGAAGAAGTAGATACTTTATCTACTTAGAACGTAGTTAATACTTTATATTCTTTTAATACCTATTTTATAGCTATCTAAAACGCACTAAATTATAGTAATTATTATATTCTCTATTACTTTATTATTAAGAGTATACGCTTAGAGTTAAATAATCTAAAGATAAGTAATAATAGTAAAATCTTTATACGTAATAACTATTTTATTATTTTCTTTAGTAAACGTCTATATACTTAAATTATCTAAAACGTTTATAACTTACTACTAGATAGATATAGTAGACGTACTACTATCTACTAGTAAGTTAGTTAATAGTATTATTAGTAAGGTATAATAGATATAATTACTTAGTTTACTAATAACTATATAATATATTACTAGTCTAAAGTTAATTATTATACTAAATATAGGCTTTTCTACTTACTACTAGTCTCTAAATAATACTAAAAAAACATCTCTATTAACTTTATTATACTACTACTTATGTTTATATAGTATAGTTATTTCTACTACTATATTATAGTTATAGTAGACTACTTATCTAAAAAGAAAAAATTTATTATAATAAAAAATATAAAGATACTTTCTATTATTAATAAGTTTCTTAAATATATATAGTGTAAAAAGAGGTACTCTAAGACCTTAGTATCTAACTATAGCTATTAGTTTACTTTCTACTTTTAGCATTACTTTTATAATTACCTTAGAACTTATTCTAAACTTAGTACTATATATTATTTTAAAATAAATAGCTAAATAGAGAACACTAATATAGATCTAAAGTAATACTTATAGTCTTATATTAATTACCTTTAAAATAATTAGGTATATCTTCTACTAATTATAGAATTTAAGGTAAACTTAGCTATTAGCTTAGTAACTAGAGTTTTTCTATTCTAGACTATAAAGAGATATTAACTTTACTCTAGCTTTAAGCTACCTTACGCTATTACTAATACTACTCTAGCGCTAGCGTAGCTATATAATACTAATATACTTATCTTTTATATTAATATAACTTACTAATACCTTTATAATAAGATTACGTAGACTTAAAATAAGATAAAGAAGTTTACTAATATTTACTACTACTTAGCTTCTAAGTTTAATATTAGTAACTAGGTATTACTAAATGTAAAGTATATATATATAAAGTATTTAGTAAAGTCTTTTAATTATAAAAATATAGGCCTTTACTAGATTATTTAAGTAATTAATAATATAGCTTATAAACTAAACCTATTTAATAGTTTTAAAAAGCTCTTCTTTATATTTTACTTATAGCTACTATAGCTATATAAGAATAACGCGCTTTTTAGTTAACTCTACGCTAGTAACTATACTCTACTTAAAGTCTACTTTAATAATAAGAGTAAGACTAAGTATATAGTTATATAGATTCTAGATTTCTATATCTACTATATAATAAATAATCTCTATACTAGCTAATGTAGATACTTATAATATAAAGTAGAATAGATAGGTAATAACTAGTCTTTATACTAGTAACTATACTTTAACCTTTATAGTAGTAAAGAGTCTATTTAGAACTTCTATAACTATAACTTTAATAAGTTTAGCTTTTATAATATATTTTACGCGTATAATAAGTATAGTAAGCTTATAGTTACTCTACTTTACTTATTAAACTTTATATACTTAGAAAGAACTAGCTAGTTATTTATAAACTTACTTAACTATATTACTCTAGTCTATTAAGATAATTATAATATATATCTTTACTTAACTTTAACTTCTATAGATAATAGTAGCTCTAAGGTAATATATTACTCTACTTAGTACTATACTTCTTTACTTATTTTAGAGTTCTCTATATAAGTATCTAGATATATTAAGAGTTATATAATATTACTATTAGCTCTATTACCTTATTATATATTATCTTTATCTTCTCTATTAGCGCTATATACTCTACTAAGTTGCACTACTATATAGACTATAGGTCTACTATTAACACTTTTCTATATAGAATAGTCTAATTTCTTTTTTATTTTAAACGCTTAGTTAGAACTTTAAGCGCCTTTAGCTAAGAGATATATAATAGTTTAGTTCTTTAGGCGTTAGGTCTATATTAGGCTAATAACTTTATATATATATTATTACCTCTAAGTACTTTTTATAAGCCTTACTATAATAATATTATAATTTAATATAATATTATTATCTAATCTTTATATAACTCTAATAATATAAGTTCTACTTTAAGCGCCTACTTAGTACGTAATATAATATAACTTATAATAAGTATATACTAATAGCGTATAAGTCTATACTAAGTAGATAAATACTTCTTTTACGCTAAAATAGCTATAGTAGATATACTACTTATTTATTTAAGTTAGCTAAATTACTAGCTTTTTTAAGTAAAAACTACTTTTTTTACTTAAAGTAATATTAGTAGTAATATAAAATAGTAGAGGTATACTAATGTACTTCTTACCTTTTATAATATATAAGTTAAAATATAAGTTAGTATTTAAGCTATCTTAAATAGTAAAGATAAGTATAGAACTTTATACTAGAGTAAATAAAATATATTATAAAATATATAATTATATAGGTAATAATAGCTGTAGGTAAGACATAAGGGCACATGTATTGCAGACATACGGTGCCTAGATAGATAGTATTATATGGGACAGACTTCGCCGTTCATATGCATTAACAAAGTTGCGCGAACATGTCATGTCATTACGACAGGACGCTGATACATGTAAGGTGGCATGGTGCCCAGGTATTGTTGAGGAGACGGGGCCAAGTCTGATCCCCACGATCATTCGGGCTGGGCTGCCCACAGGTCCGCCCTCCCGCAGTACGCGAGAATGAATGATGGGCGTGCTGCTACAAAGGCTTTCAATTCAGACAAGCCGTATCCTGATCCTGATCGTGTTCAACACGCATCGAAGAAGCAGTACGGTCGTTGAACACCTGGGCATCGTGTCGGTGGCGTTCGGCTTAACTTCGGCCTTGAGACCTCGGGACGGCCCCACAACTAGCGAGGCTTGGGCTGTTTCAATTCTGCCCTTTACCGCGAGCCGCAAAATTTGGCGCACCTCTCAAAGATATCACGCTCACCCAGTCGATGGAACCCAAGCTGTCCGACAATCGATAAAGAAACGCGCGTGATTCGCTTCGAGACACGATACAAGACAGTGAGGCAGGTATTAATCGCATTACGCGTTCAACGCTGAGAGCGTCCATTCCACTATACCAAAGGAATCGATGCGACTCGTTATTATCTGTCTGTTCAGCTGCACTTCTGCGATCGCGCACGCCGAAGATATCAGAATCCGACCATGTCGCTGACGTCAAGGGACCAATATTTGTCACCCTGTACCGAGAATGAGTACCTCTGTTGCGAAGACACATCCGATTGGGACAAAGAGAAAGACAAATTACGAGGCCGAGTCCTTCGTGTCACTCTAGGCCAACAGGTGCATATCTCTAGGTAAGTTGGGACGATTGATATATATATATATATAGGTTCCGAAGACTGTCGCTCACATCTTGACCAGTGACATCATGAGGTCATTAAAGCTTCATACGGGATGGTTACAAAGTCTTGAAATCGCCAATTACGCAGCCAATATCTCAGACGATGATGTCCTTGACTTTGTCTCACGGAACAATGGGTTACGCGAAATCATGCTATTGAACATGAATCTAACGGACAAATCAATCATTCATATTCTTGGACATTGTCCAGATATCGTATCCATTTCAACTGGCGGTGACAGTTCTGGCGGAGATGGGCGGATCAAAGGCCATTTTGCATCCTACATGAACAAGCAGGAAAATATGCACAAATGGGAGAAATTGACAAAAGTCACTCTTTGGGATCAGCCAATCGACAGGGCACAAATTAGAGGCTTACTCAAAAAGCGACCGAACCTACGAATCGATCAGTTGCAGACACCCAGCCCCGAAGTAGTAAAATCGCTCACGGATGCCGGCATCTCACCTTCCAACAAGGAAGTAGAAGACGGATTGAGTGTTGCCGAAGAGTTTGCTAAAGCATCACAAATCGTGCCCGTTGTATCTTTCTGGAGAAACGGCAAAGTTAGAGGCCCAGATATGGCGGGTTTGGTGCGATTAGAACAGACTCGGTTGGACGCTATCCGGCGGTGTAAGGCTGAGCTTCAAGCACAGGCTGCGTTTGAGGCAGAGTCAGAGCTTGAGGCAGAGGCTGAACTCGAGGCAGAGGCTGGAAATTTCCCTGGAGAATCAGACAGTCGTAGGAAGCGGACTCTGGACCCGGCCTCACCCTCATCATCACGGCCAGCTCGAAAGGTCGCCAGATGCGAAGGTTCCGATCCCCGTTACGAAGAAGATGCAAAGCAGGCCGACATGACGAGTAGCACAAACGTCAATGAAGCGTCATCAAGTATGGAAAGCACCTCCGGAAATGCCAACGCCGTCATCAGTTCTGAAGGAAGCGCCTTAAGTAAGAACGTCATCAAAGAAGAACCTTTGGACGAGGATGGCTTCGGAGTGAACTATGAGCAAGCCGAAACTCATGGAGTGGATGCTTTGGACGACGAGGAGGATGCTATAATGAGGACTGTAATCAAGAGAGACGATAGTGTATGACCAAAGCCGATTTCGATGAAGATATACAATCAGAGTGTTTCAGGTGGCTTTCACTTCAATATTGAGAGCGCGCAAGCGTGCCGACAACTGACACCAAATTGGGTGATGGCGCCCTGGAAGCGCTAGTATGACATCATCGTTTTCTAGCCTGGACTTATCATCAGGCTCTATCATCAGCTCTATACGAGCTCGAGAGCGAGTAGAATCCTCCAGGGCTCTTATTCTACATTGAACGCTAATAACATTGTCTCTTTCGTGTTCCGAGAGCACGATCTGTGCAGACGCTTTTCGGTTTCAGTTGCGGCCAGACATCCTCGGGGCCCATACTAATTACCGGTACCCCCCGCCCAACGGGTCCGGCTGTTTCGGGAAGGTTCGCTCCTGCAGGCCGAGGAACCTCAACATGTCCACAGTCACCAGTCGCTCAACACCAACCCCCTATGAAGAAACGGCGCGGTTTACATGTTAGTGAACTGCTATCGATACTAAGTTGACTCCAACCCCGCGCGCGACAAGCAACACAACCGGGCCCCACTGTCTGACCTGCCCCCACATCACACCTTCGAAGCCACGCACTTACCAACACCGAACAATGTCGTTAGAAGCAACTCGCAAATATTGGCTACTACTACCTGAGAACCAGCGCGTAGCATGTGATAGTGCAGATAAATGGCATTGGATAAAAGAGAGAGAGAAACTGCTGCGAGGCCGAGTGTATGATGTTTTTCTGACGTGCGACATTCTGATATCACGGTATGTTCAGACGACGAAGAAGTCCATTGCCTGAAAGCCATGACTCACAGCTTCATTAGCTCTATGAAGACTTCGCTAAAGCTTCATACCGGCTTTCTGAAACGCCTTTGGTTGAGCGACAGGGAAGGCAATCTCTCAGACGGCGACGTGCGCGCGATTGTTGCACGGAATCACCTCCTACTCGATATCAACTTATATGCACCAAATTTGACAGACAAGGCACTTATCGCCATTCTAAAACACTGTCGATCTGTCGTGTTTGTTGGAATTCACGGCTTGCCTAGCACAAATGGGTGTATCAAAGGCTATTTCGTTGATTTTATGAACATGCGGGAAAATCAGCGCGAATGGCCGTTGCTGAATGAATTGCGGCTAGACAATCAACCCATCGAAGAAGCTCGAATGAGAAGCGTCACCGAAAAAAGACACGGACTAGAGATTCGGCAAAGCATTGCGCTTACTCCTGCTGTAGCCGAGGCGCTGTCCAACGCTGGTGTCAATATACCAGGCGCGGAACATATCGCAACTAAGTGGCGCAGAGGGCATGTCGTAGGCATAGACTGGGTAGCATTGGTGCGCAGAGAGCAAGCGAGGCTGGATGACTTGAAACAGCTTGCGATACAACTTCAAAATGAAATGCTTCAAAGGCTTCGACAGAAAATTCATGAATTGGAACGGGAGCTGGAGGAAAATGGCACACCACTAGATCAATTTCGACGAGAGCGAGATATCGCTAGACTTCTAGTCAATTCTGCGCACAGTGATACAGAAGAGACTAGATCAGAAGAGACTGGATCAGAAGAGACTGGGTCAGAAGAAACTGGACCAGAAGAGAGCTGTTCTGAGGCAGAGGGCTCTGGCGATGACGGTCTGGATGATCTTGATACTAGACGTCTAGGTAGTTATGAAGAGGGAGACTCAGAAGCAGATGAACTCGGGGAAGAGACCGGAGAAGAGCATTCGAATGAAGAAGATTGCTCCCCAGAAGAGACCGGCGGGGAAGGGGAGGAGGACGACGATGAAAGATATCAAAACGAGGAAGAGGCGCGTCCCTCAATCAAAGCCGAAAGGATTGCACAGATTGCAGACCAAGAGATCCTCAATACAGAATCCAGATATTGGGCCCCTGTGGAGCGGAACACAGGAGCAACGATAAAACAAGAAAGCCGCCCTAGTGTAGCGAGAAGTTTACCAAGAAAATCGGCATCGATATCTGCCGATGAGGATAATGACATGCGCATCGCGAGTGGAACTCATATCCAAGACGAAAGACAACCGAGCGACCGCAGTGAGGCGGATTCCAAAGATGAGCTTTGCAACGGGGTCAAAAGCGAAAGTAGAATACATGCACAAGATGCCGCACGCTTGGGGAACGACATCGAACGCTCTAATGTTGTCAAAACGTATTATCCACGCACACCCATTCCACCCCTCGAGTTTCCGGGTTCTGTCACACTCAGATTTAGCAGTCCTCAGGATTGGGAGCGACGATGGCATAGGGCACAGCGTCGCACAGGCATACGCATGGTCATTTTCGAACCAAGCTTTGCTGTCACAGTGTAAGTTGTCTTCGTCCGTCATTGAATCTATTATTAGCATACTGAACCTAAACAGTGCCGAAATCAACATGCTAGCTTGGTCACCAGCAGCATTCAGTTCATCTATTCTCGCGATCCGCGTGGGCAACGGTGCCCTGCTAGACGAACAGTCTATTACCAACCTCGCCGCGAATATGGCGCAGTTAACACAGGTGCAAATCGATTTGGCTCCAAATATTGGTGACCAATCCATCATGAGTCTTATTGAGTTCTGTCCGGCCATTGGATACATTGAAGTATGTGGGGATGTACTCACGAGACGATCTGGTGGTGTGACTTTGCGTAACCTCGACGCGATATTGATTGCAAATGAAGATAAGGCCCAACGTCTTCGTAATCTCGTGCTCGTAGATCAGCTGGTGGAAGAAAAGAGCGTGGAAGCCTGCGAAAAATTGCGAGCAAATCTGAAAATTATACGTGGACATCAGACACGAGAGGAAATTGTGCCGGGAAGCAGGGCTTAGCGCGCGGCTAGATACGCAAAAAAAGTCATTGTATTAGATACTATAGATTATCATACTCATCAATCCAACGCGAATCTTTGTGAGTCTCGGTCCGCCAACGGCACCACATTGTAGTTCAAACGCTGTACATAATAGTCGTCCTCAAGCTCATGTGCTCGAGGCTTTCGTTGCACCTGGCCCAACAGAATTGGCCGGAGCCCTTTCTTGAAATTGTAGAAGCAAACGCAGCCGGCCAGGAGAGCACTGGTCGAAAATACCACCCCTACGCAGAGGTAGAAAACCATCTCATCCTTCAATAAAGTATCAGCAAGTAACGAGTGCCCGTAGAGAACGAGGAGTCTGCTGATCAGGTATGCGATATTTGCGGCATGGAGAAGCTGTGAGATGCGATATTAGCGCGTGCCAGTCCTTTCGAGGTTGAGTGACCTACCAAAACAAACGCCATCCCAATGCGACGCTCATGCCGGACAAAATATACCGCGATGGCCACATGTACAAGAGTAGCCGGGATGATTGAGATCGTCAATGAGAACTCGGGCTCCTGGAAATGGACGTCGATGAAATCGTAGAAGATTATGAACGCGAAAACGAAGTAGGGTGTAAACTTGAGAAGCACGAGGTAAATCTGTGCTTGTGTGAGTATGGTCAGGCAAAGAAGATGACGCAAGTCTTACCTGGTAGACAGCGTATTTTGTTTGTATCTTCTTGTCAGGGCTGACATGCTGGTATAAAGCCCAAGAGAACTCACGGTACAGGCCCCTCGCTAACAGGCACATAATGGCACTGCTCACACATGTGACCACGGTACAGACCATCAAGCCAGGTGAGATCTTCTTCCAGAAAGGCCAATCAACATCTGCGAATGGGGTGCCGTACATATCGTGATTAACGAGAATCCTAGATACTGCATGTCTAGTCTCGCCATATTGAAGAACCGTCGAGATTGAAAGGCATATGTTGGCGGCGCATTGAACGAACACCTGGATGTGGTTCTTGATCCGGTATGCGTCAAGTGTCAAGATGATCTGGAAGAGACATCCCAATGAATTGACACACAAGGTCAGAGGGATGACATAAGATATCGGAACCTGGTATGCGACCGAGTTTACCCAATTCAAGTACGTGACAAGAATGACTCTAGGTCTAGTTAGACAGTTCATCTAGCGAGTGAGTTCTGCGGGGAAATACGAACGTCTGTATCGTAATATTCGTAATCGCCTGAACTGTCGTAGTGCCAAAGAAAAACCATTCCAATCTCGTTTCCGGCCGCCACGAAACCATCGTTGTTGCGTCTCCCCGATCGAGCTGCCCACGCGCCCAAAGAGGTAATGGAAACGAGTGTGGTGTGAATCAGCCACACCGGGGCAGGGTACAAGCGGTGGGTATTGCGTGCGACGGGACAATCTTTTTAGCAGTCTCGAAGAATCATGATAACGCGTGGACAGAAGCAAAAACCTTCTAGTTCCATGGATAGTCTGGCATTTTCCGGGCTTGGGTCCGCTAGGAAAGCCTAAATACGGGAAAGGAGCTTCCGCACTACGCCGCATTCAGCCGAACGTCGACCATTGCAGCTGACATTGACGCTACGCCATCCCAGACTTCCCACGGCGAGCACTCCCGGAACCTTGATGGACGATATGATTGAATGGTCTCTGAAATTACTATCACGATACGAGGTTGGTGCTGTGGGAGGTGTGGGGGGATTTGGGCTAGTCGCTTTTTCTGTTAGCGTGACAGCCTTCATGCAGGCTGTCTCCCGAGGTCTCGTCTCATCAACCCGACCTTGCGACACTTGAGGTTCAGGACAAACTCACAGCGATATCTCGCTTTCAGTGTTGAGAAGACACCAGCTATCGCGATGTCCATCCACCCAATACGCCTTTGCTCTGTTATGATGATTGAAAGTTCTGTTCTAGACATGCCCCACGCACGACGCGCAAACCGTGGGTCTTTTCGCCACCAGGGGCACAAAGCTTGCCGAGAGCTGTTCGAGAGAATCTATGAACCGTGAAATCTCGAAGGCCAGACGCATTCCAAGGCTTGCTTTTGAGACACTTGTCGAACTCAGGGAGCGACTGAAAGATCAAGCGACCTCTACACCAAGGGAGTTTAAATCATCCATAATCACGCTCTCATACCTCGTTCCATCATCTTTTCTTCCGCTACCCACAACGCGATATGAGCACCCAAAACTCTCACCTGCAGCTCCACTGGCAAAGGTCTATACCACGCCTTCCTGAGGAAGAACACTTGATTCATCCCCCTCTTCATCTTTCGAGTCCTCGAGATTGTCTTGTGGCCCAATACACGCTTCATCCCGTCTGTGGTGAACTACAAACCGCCCATGCCTTGTGCTGCAATGGCGAGCCACACCCTTGTAGTACCCCGGACACTCATCACGCTCCCAACGGTTACTATATTGCTTGCTCCCTAAACATTCCTGGATTTGGAGTGTACAACTGGAACTCCGGAGTCTGCTATCCACACCCACTAGCTCGCGATGTTCCCAAGCAACCTCAAGCGCCGCAAGAACCAGCACAGCACCACGGCCATGCAGCAGATACGGACACATCAAAACGGAAATGCGAAGACGCAGAGTACCCAGGTGCTACCGGACCAAAGTTGCCCAGAATCGATGAGTATGCAGCGACTGCCGAACGAGTACGCAGCGAAGAAGTCTATGGGGTCGGTTCCAACGAGGATGCTATATTCTTGGAAGAAAATCCGGTGCTGAAACGAAATAGGGCGGGTCCAGTACTGTCCGATCCAGCTCTGCACAAGATTAACAGGACTGCAGCTCCTGTGGTTTACCCCGGCTTTGCGCCCCTGCCTGTAAACAACGCGCCACATGCAGCAGCGATTGTCGATCAAGAATCTAGAAGGTATTCCCAAGAAGCTCATGAGGGCCGAACCGAGACAACAACCGCGGCATTTGACGATGCACCCAGTGCTAGCAAAAATGTAGCTTCTATCTCGGGAGGAAATGAAGGCTACGATAGCGGAAGCGGGAACGAAGTGTCGCACCACCGGGGATATCAAGATTTGAGAACATTACACTTTTGGAGTGAAGCAGACTGGAAAGATACATGGTGTGAGACTGGATGTGGTCAAGGCATTGAACTATTGCACTTTGGACCTGACTTTCCTGTTACCGAGTATGTATTCAAATGCTCAAGTCATCGTGAGTGAAGCAATACTAATTGTCTTTTCAAATTCAGTGAAGTCATCCGATATATCGCGGCGACAGCTTCCGTGGACGACAAGATGATCAGCAGCGTCTTCGTGATACGCTGTGATAATACCAGCATGCTCACCGACCGCGGCATTCTCGCCATCACTCGCGGATTTCGTGCACTCAAAGACGTAGTCCTGTACAATGCACGTTTGCTCACCAACACTTCGATACTTCACCTGTTGAAGCGATCCTCCAACCTCCGTCGCATCCGCATAGGGCGCGAATCTGAACGTCCAAATCCACTCATCTGTCGAGTCTGGATTCTTGAACGCACGTTTTTGAACCAGGAAAACCGTTGGCCCCGTTCATTTATGCCTTTGCTCTCACGGTTGGACGAAAGCCCGAGTTATCCGCCTGCTATTGCGTATGCACTCAGCCTCACGATCCCAATGTTTCGCCTTGAAAGATCATCGATGGATGAACACTGGTTCGGCCCAGCATGCGACGCTGAACACGCGTTGAATCAGCTGAATCAGCGAAACTCTTACCAGCTCTTCAAGAGGAAGCCGTACTATTATTCTTGGATAAGTGGCCTTAAGTCATACCGTAGGAATGACGTTGGCGATCCAAGGAAGCCGGCCTGGGATTGCGTAGAGATCCATATATAGCGCTAGGTGTACATTGTATGCTGTTATTGTATTCGGCGAAGCCACGCACATTGTATGTCACAAAACTAAGAGGTGTTGTCGCGACAAATATTGCAACTAACATCAGTTCCGTTCATGATTTGCGTGATAAAAGAAATTGAGTTTCCGGGTTTTCATGCTGGGCGTGCTGCGCCAGCATGCACGAGTCGGATCGTCTGCGACGTGTTTCAGCGTGATCGCCAACTTAACACACCGAAATCACTGGACATGCCCAGGTAGAGCTTATGACGCCACAATAATTGTTCCATGACCTATGGATCGTTTGCACTGACATTTGACATCGTTGTTGCAACTGCAAGGGACGACTACACGTACCGTGAACCTGGCTCATACCTAGCTATCTTCGATGCGGAGGGAAAGTGGTGGCTCTGCAGCCGTCAAAGCTGACCCTGGTCGCATGATCGCTCATCGAAATCTGGAACACATTGTAAACCTCAGGAACACCACAAGGTTGCGGCAGCATTTTTGACACGAGAGACGAGTATCTAGGCTCGCATTGCGCACTTATGCTCTCGTATTTCCTTGAATCCAACTTTCGCAAACCGAGAATGGATCCGCCACCGCACACCATGCATCCGCAGATGCACCTTGGCCCCGAGAGCCCATACACTCCACAGTCTCTACGGGTCCTACCCGCCCTACCCCTACCTCCAATATGGACGCTGCTCTCTAACCAGCAAGTGGCGGTTCCGCAATATGTCCCGGTTCCATATCCTGTGCCAGTACCGTACCACATGCCAGAATCTTACTACTCAGCGGTACGTCAAACTGAGATGCCATTCCAGAAGCGTTTGCTGACCCATGTGCAGGCTCTGTACCAAGTACAGCAAAATATTCCAGGCCACGCAACCTTGAAGCGGAAGAATTCGTTTCCCGAATCGTTTGATTCTCATCAGCCATACAAACAACCTAGAATTGAAGCGCCGATAGAAGGTTATGCCTACGAAGTGGAAGCAGGAAGAGTAAGCGGTGAAGACAGGCAACCAGAGGAGAATGAAGCAGGCGCCCCGGTACCCGAAATCCTGGCTGCAGAAGTACACGACAGCGGCAATCATGAGAACCACGAGATCAATGCCCCAGTGCTCCCCGCATTGGCACCTCAGCCCGTCCAGGATGAA